CCTTTAGATCTTTGCAGTTTTTAGTAGCGATAAATTAAAAACTGTTTATTAGGATTTATTATTCTTTATTGGTTAGTTTATAAAAGAAAAATAAACTTTTTTTAATAAAGAAGTACTAATGGTGGTTAAATAGATGGTTATACCATCTATATTATTATACTTTCAAATGTCTGTCCCAGTATTAAAATAAGTTTGCATAAAACATGTGAATCTCATCCAATCTTTAAGAAGATTTGCAGAAACTTTCTTATATTGTTATTATTATTTCATGAGAAGCCATGTTTTATATCACAATTATCAGGTACTACATTTTTTTTTTAATATCAAGTAAAATTTTTTTTTTTAATTTGGCCTAGTCTTAAACAAGAAAAGCAAACTTATGAGGGTAAATCTAAATAACCTTTAGCGTTTTAGGGGATATTTTGAAAACACAGACATACCACAAACACCCGACTCTCAGAATTCTCTGTAACGTCCATATCAGGTTTGTTTGTTGGACCTGAAAGGAGAAATATGGACAAACAGGAAGTCAGTATATGTAAATACTTCAGGATTTTAGGAATCATAAATTTAATGGAGGACTTACTTTGATTCTCATTAGGAACTAGCATGAAGGAGGAAAGAGAATATAAACATTTTCATGACCAGATTAACACTTAGATCAGTATTTTAAATAAATATCCAGTAATGTTTTTATACTTTGAAATTCTCTTGTTGGGACACCCTGCTCTTGATTATTTGCAGCTAAACAGCTAAATTGGTGTGTGATGCTTCATCCAGTTTTTAAAATAATCGTCTAACTGTTGTTATTATGGAATGATGGTCAGTCATAAAACATTTTCAGGAACTCACCTGGAATTTTCCCCTCTGGATCCGACGGATCAAAAGGATTGTCCATAAACATTCCAATAGCCGTGGCCTCGTCCCTGCCAAGCCTGTTCTCCACAATCAGCGTGTAGTTCCCATTGTTGATGTGGGTGGGCTTGTTGAGGAAGAGGCAGCCGTGTTTTACCGACCCGTCATTTGAGTCAGGGATGAACTGGCTGTAGAGGTATTTGGTTTCTCTGATTAGGAAGCCGTTGTACAGCCAGCTAATCTTTGCCTCTGGATTGCCATCCACAGCGAACGGGAAGCACCAGTTGTGCTGCGGCACAGCGTCTCTCAGGAAGATGATTTTGGCTGGAACTGCAGGGAGATGTCAGGTTTGGAGGTTCAGGTGAGGTCAGAGTTTTCCTTTTTGTTACATATCATCTTCATTTCTTTCTATTTTCCTCCTAAAAATACAGATTCTCTTGCAATCATTTGAAGTAATGTGCATCAATAATTCCTATAAATGTTTTATTTTTATCTTAAATGTTTTGGTTCATTTGTCCGTACAATACAGCAGAAAAATGAGCTAGCTTGTTAGGAAATTCAAAAACCAAAACACAAGGCCCCTGAAATTTAAGGAACTTATCTAGTGTGCAACAAAACCAAAATTTTACATGAAGAATGTTTTTAAAAAATATCCAGGCTTAAAATTTTGTGTTTTACCTAAGGAAATAAACATGCTGGAACTGAATGCAGCTTAGACTAAACCCCAGTCGGCCTCGGAAGATGGCCGCTCACACTGAGCCTGGTTCTGCTGGAGGTTTCTTCCTGTTAAAAGGGAGTTTTTCCTCTCCACTGTCGCTACAAGCATGCTTAGTGTGAGGGATTGTAGTTGAGTCAATGAGTCGATGCAATCAACTGGTTTTCCTTACATAGAAAACTTTGAATCAATTTGACTGGATTATCTGGTTGAACTGTAAAGTGCCTTGAGATGACTTGTGTTGTGAATTGGCGCTATAGAAATAAACTGAATTGAAATTGAATAGTTTGATGACATTAATCAAGCTTTATTTAGGAGGAACTGACTGGTTCCTGCAAGCAAAAACACCCTCCGGACAAACTTTTGCTACTTGGTTGTCTACATGCATCTCTGTCTTCTCCTTTCAAATTGATTCCTTCACCATAACACATGTAAAACTATCCAAAATACCCATTCTCACAAAGCATCTAAATAATGCCAGACAACATTTACTGTATTAAAATCATCCAGCAACAATGGCAGATAGCTTTCCAAGTGATTGAAATGAAAACTGTTAAGAAATGAGCTCAATTTTCCCTCACAAGTGTCAGAATTGTGTGGTTTTTGAAAACTAGAGCATAAATATGATTGAATGAGAGAAGTTTGTTCAGACTTTGAACCAAACTCCACATTCTCCACTTTTTTTTTTCTTCTTTTTTTTTAGATTTAAGCCAAAAAGACAAACGAAAAAGATGAAAAATCAGAACATTAGTCCAGATTTAATGCGCTGGTGCCAGTCTAAGGAAGAAAAATTGCTTAAAATTTACGTGGAGGTTGCTGTTTAAGTTAAATATTTTCTAAAGCGAACTGTCACCACTGTGTGGGCGCCACACAATGGAAGCTCCCTGCTCCCCAAGGGTTTGGGCCAAAATGCAGAGAACTAATTTCCCCATCGTGGTACAATAAAAGGATTTACATTTACGTTTATAAAAATTTTAATCATCAAGGAGTAAGACACTGCCTTACTAAAGTAAAAGAAGATTGATCTTCTATTTGAAGGTGTTTGATGCACACTCCTACCCAGAGTCCGCGGGTGTCCCCACAACAGAAAGTTAACATCCTTTATACCCCAAAACAAAGCAACGGGAAGAGAGGCTTACTGGCAGGGAGGACTTCAACTAGAAGCTTTTAATGTTCTTTATGGTGAATGAGGAAATTTCCGAATATTTTTATAAAATTTTTGGTCCTGGATGAGGAGATTGCTCATCCAGAAGAGACTCTGTCTAGAGTTGCTTGTCCTCCACATCCAGAGGAGTCAGCAGAGATGGCTTTGACATCTTTTTACGATGCCCTCTGTACGCCTTCCCTTTGCAGATGTTCCAGGATCGTCTCACTGGGAGGAGGCCCAGGGGACGACCCAGGAAACACTGGAGGGACTGTGTCTCTCGACTGGCCTGGAGGCGCCCCGGCTTCCCCCAACAGAGCTGGAGGAAGCCTCTACGGTGAGTGTCCACAGTGTTGAACAAGCTGCTGAAGTGAGGTTAAAAATTGTCAAAGTCCTTCAGACAGAGACAGTCACAGCATCTATTGATCAAAACTACTAAAGGTATTGTTGTACTGAGCTGTAAATGTTTCCTCTTTATGCTGAAACTTCAACTCTGTCATACATAACCCAGTTTCACACTGTGCTGTATGTTGGCTGGGATTTTCCATGAATCAATGCTCTCCATCTGAACTGCAAACCTTGGCTGACCTGCCATGAATAATGCATCCTGGTCATCGTCGTGCTCCCAACCACAAGAACTACCTGGAAGCTCTCTCCTGGACACGAAGTTACAGGAAACGGCACCGTTCAGATCGAACACAACTCTCAAGTGCAGCGACCCTTTGCTCTGCCCTGGAAATTGTGCTGCTCTTAACCTGCAACCCTGACCTGGAAAGTGCTGTAATAAGGCGGATACCGGCTCAGGTGCCCCTTTACTCTCTGCACTCTGAAAGCTACTACACTGCTTGGAAAATACTGCTTTTTAATCACCTTTAATAATCCCCCACTGGTAGCCTCTTCTGATCTCACTCTGCTGGGGATAAAATAAAGGCTAGAAACCCATTTAATGAACAAGCTGCTTGTCACACCTTATTTCCTCATTTGAAGTTTGCCACAATTTATTCCAGCAAACTTCTTTGAACAATCAAATCTAAAATACTAACATTTTCAGACATTAAATTATTTGATAAGGTCATTTTTTTTGCTCTTCTATAAATAGAAGCCATTTTTCTTTGCAGAGTGGATCTGAATGAACAACCTGCTGCGATACAAAAATCAAGCTGTACATGCAGGTTCAGCACCAACTAAAAATAAGAAAGTCTTTGAGGATGTAAAAAAAGGTCAGGATCTCACAGATTAGATGGTCAGCTTTTATCTTGCAAAGACTGAGTCAGATTCATGTTTTGATACCAGTTTGTTGTTCGCCACGGAACCCGTTTCACTCATTTTTGTTTTTTTAGCCTTGAAGTTATTGCTTTAAGAAGAGACGTCTTTAATAAAACATTTCTGTAGAACCAGACAGAGAAACATAATAATGCCACTATTATGGCTGTTTAAATATCTTAGAGTTCAGGGCCAAACCTCACAGTCATATTCTGCCAAATTACATAACAGAAGTTTTTAAACCACGGTTCTGCAGCCCCACTCTTTGCTTTCCGTGCAGCTAAAAAAAAAACAAAAAAACAATTCCTTTAGAGCCCCAAATTAATTAATTATTGAGCTTTTAAGAAAAGACAACTCATACACTGCAAAAAAATGTAATCTAAATAAGTAATTTTTTCTTAAAACAAGTGCATTTCTTCTTGAATTAAGTATTTAAGTGAGACACTTTGCCAATGGAACAAGACAATTTACACTTAAAATAAGAAAAAAAAAATTGCATTGTCTTATTTCAAGTGCATAATATCTAGACACCTTATTTTAAGAGTAAAAATACTAATTCCATTGGCAAATCATCTTATTTACCTGCTCAAATTAAGGGTAAATACTCTTAATTTAAGAAATTTTTACTCATTTTGAGGTCGTTTTTGCAGTGTACTTTTTCATACTAGCCATTGCAAAATAAAAAAACATTTTATATCCATCTTTTAGGTTTTATAATAAAAGAAAAAACATAAAACCTTTGCAAAAACAAGCTAGGGTTGGCAAGAAAGATTGATCTGGAAAAAATATTAGTGATTATTTTTATTTTATCCTAATGTGAAACTTAATTTAAATATGTCCACAAACAAAAAAGGTCGTAGCCCTTTTGGTTACATCTACTATGTTTGAAAATATAATTTTTTCTTACATTTTAGAGAGCCATTGCAGAGGGACCAAATAGCCACTTGCAAGCCTGAGCAACCGGGTCTAGAACCCGATTACTGATAATCTGAAGCAAATCCAAACTTGTGCACCACTTTCTCATCCTTAAATATTAATTTCAGATGGTGGATGATCCTTCTACTGTGATGATCTGGCCTGTTTGCGCTCCCTTAATTAGTCATTCCTTTCACCTGTCGTTTTCCCTCCCTGCCTCAATTATAATTTATTCCTCTCACCTGTTTCTTCTTGGTTATATTCAGTTCAGCCTGAGCATTCAGTGCCAGATCATTATTTGTTTTCTGTGAGTCTGTCTGTTCAGTCTTATTTCATGGTTCATTTCCTGGATCCTGGCAGCCAGTGAAAAGAGGTTTTTGTGTTTGTTTCGTCTCCTGATCGTCCACTGTTCCTCCCCCGCGGAGTCCTCTGGGTTTTTGGCTCTATATGTGGGGGGGTTCAGTTTTTATTCCAGTAAGCCTGGCTCCAGGGAGGAGACCAGTTTAAAGTCCTGCATCAAGTTCTGGTTCCACGTCCTGTCTCGGCTACCCTCTTCCACTGAGCCTGCTCATCTGCACCTGATCCTTTCTGCTCCTGTGCGTGACCACCCGGTCACGCTTTCGGACCCTATCAGACTCTAAACCCTCCTGGAAGCTTGTGGAATCCTGGAAGTCTGGATCCTGCCACCTGTTTCTGTTCCTTTCTGTTCTGGATCCTTGACCAGGATCGGCTTTCAGCATGTCCGTGATGTCTGTGATTGGGCTTTGCCCCGCTCCCCCTCCTGCAGTGTCCGCGAGCCACAGCTCCACTTTAGTTTTTGTTTTATTTAATAAATTTTTTTAACTTTCCTACTGACTGTATCTCCTTGAATACTGGGTCCATTTGTCCTCGGTTCATGACATCTACACCAAAAAATCTATAAAGTCAGAATTTTGGGGAAAGGGAACACACACCATTAATAATCAAACAGTTTTATTCAAGTCAAGTCCCAGACATGTAAACTACTCTCCACACACACTTTGAACATTTTATGTGTGAAGATTCAATAGCATGAGACCCAAAATATGTCACTCTCATGAGTGAATGCTCCTTCTCTCTCCTCTTGTAAAATTTGAGAATGGAACAAACCGGATGAAGTAAACAGCCTGTGATTGGCTACTTTTCAGGAAATCCCGCCTTTTGAGTGCACTGTCATTAAATAAATATGTGTAATCTAACTGAAAATAAATTTTAAAATTAGTTTTGTTTTTTTAAGCGGTTGTGACATGTAAGAGATAATTGTAATATTATCCCTGACTTGTCTTTCATGTGAATAAAATGAGTCCTAAGGTGCCTTCTATTCATTCTGACAGAAGCTGTCTGAACTGTGGTCCTATCCAAGATGGCCGCCCTCAAAAGTACGTCGGCCTCACTGCCGACAGCGTCCAATGAGGCGTCTACATATATAATTTCTATAGGTTTCACCTTCAAAATGAAAAAAAGTTGACATGAGCGCACAGAGCCAGGTTCACAAACATGAAGAGCAGAGGAGCATAAACACATAAATGTCACCAAAACTGCCTTTTTCCTTATGGCAGACTTCTGATTTCATAAAAATGATTAATTCTAAATGTTAAAAATGTTTAATTCTAAGATTTCCAATGGTTGATTCAGAGCAGGGTTTCTATGAAGAGGAAGCTGCATGTCTACCATGAATCAATGGCACGAGGAGCCACTCAGCAGTAAACTCCCACTGTTCTGGGAGGTAATTAGAAGTAATTAAAGGGCCAGCGGTTAACGAGTGTCTGTCCACCAGTGGAGCTGATGTTGATAGATTAGGAGCACTAACACATTTAAAGACTGCCAATCACCATGGAAGAAGCGGTTTTCCGGAGTTGAAGGGAAAAGTCCATTAGGATGCGCTTAAATCAGATCTTAGCACGGGTTGTCCGCCCCATTTCCCTGATGTTCATTATCTGTCCCTTGATGCTCATGCAGCTGATTGGCGCCCCTGTCTTTTTTTTGGCTTTATATTTTCAAATGAGTGTCATTGAGTTGGAGCTATATGATATTGTTTGGGGTTGTATTTTCAGTAATGTACCACTAATGCATCTGATTGTCTTCTGTGGGACTACTGGGTGCTGTCTTTTCTCGGCGTTGCTCACCTTCCAGATGCACTAATGTATCTGAAAGCGGAAAACAGCAGCGGACCCTCAGAGTCAAGCTCCATCTGTAATTTGAAAGTGCAAAATACATAAGGTGGTGGAGTTCTATATGAGGGAGATATGGTAAGTTCACCTTCCTTTGTCCTCTCATTGCATCCCTACATTAAATGGCAAGCTGTACCTGAAGCACTTCAGTCATATTATTTTAACACTTCTCACCAGTCGCTGGATTGAGTGGCAGAGGACAGAGAGCTCCATTAGAAGCATGGTGGGTACGTACCCATATTTGTAGAGGGGGCATTTAGAAGAAATCAGCGCAGTGCATTTTTCTTTTGTGCAACTGTCCACCCTGCCTGCACTACCAAATAGTCCCGGTGTGCTCTCGCCCTCGCCTCCATTAAGGCCGCCGACTTGCATTGAGCTAGTGAGCTTTCAGGAGCGCAGCATTTTATTTTGCAGGCACTTACACTCAATGTCCAATTGCACCATCCCCTCGTTGGGCCCAGCTTGGTTCTCAGCCACACACGTCAGGTTGTGCAGGTTGTCCTTGGAGGAAACATTGGTGAGTTGAAGCACCAGATGTACCGAGGAGCCCATGATTGTCTCCTGCAGAAGCAGTCAGGAAGTGAAATCTGAATTCCTCCAGGTATAACAGATACATTGGTCACAAGAGAAAATCTAAACTGAAAAGTAGTTTATGAAAAATACCATTCAAATGTGTTTAGAGGAAAAAGGAATATCTACATGAATACACTTTGCAATGGTAAATTTTTTTTATAAGCAAAGTATAGAAGCAGGAAATTAGAGTTAAAAACTTCTGTAATTACTAAAAAAAGTTTCAATTCAGGTCCTTCCATGTAGATATATATATATAAAATATATATATGGGTGTATGCATATAATTATGCATACACCCACACACGCACACATATACCAATCAT